CTGCGTTTTTGTTTGCCAATTTAATTTCCTTTGGGCAAACTTCAAGGAGTGGGATGGCTGGGTTGAATGGTAAGGTTATATTCAGGTTTCTGAGGAATCTGCAGACTGACTTCCATAGTGGCTTAACCAGTTTGCACTCCCACCAACAGTGGGTTAGTGTCCCTTTTTCCGGACATCCTCTCCAGCATCTGTTGTTGGTAGATTTCTGTATGTGAGCCATTCTAGCCGGGGTGAGGTGAAACCTCATTGTTGTTTTGATATGCATTTCCCTGATTGCTAGTGATCCTGAACATTTTTTCATGTGCCTGTTGGCCATTTGGATTTCCTCCTTTGAAAAATGTCTATTGAGGTCTTTGGCCCATCTCTTGAGTGGGTTGTTTGTTTTGTTGTTGTGGAGCTTCTTGATCTCTTTGTAGATTCTGGTTATTAACCCTTTATCTGTTGCATAGTTTGCAAATATTTTTCCCATTCTGTCGGTTGTCTCTTCACTCTCCTGACTGTTTCTTTTGCAGTACAGAAACTTCTCAATTTGATGCAATCCCACATGTTAATTTTGGCTTTGACTGCCTGTGCCTCCAGGATTTTTTCCAAGAGTCTTGGGTCTTTGCCTGTGCCTATATCTCGCAGGGTTTCACCAATGTTCTCTAATAACTTGATGGTGTTGGGTCGTAGATTTAGGTCTTTAATCCATGTTGAGTAGATTTTTGTGTAAGGTGAAAGGTAGGGGTCTGGCTTCATGCTTCTGCACGTGGAAATCCAGTTTTCCCAGCACCACTTATTGAATAGACTGTCCTTATTCCAGGGATTGGTTTTGGATCCCTGATCAAATATAAGTTGGCTGTAGATGTTTGGGTTGATTTCTGGTGTTTCAATTCTGTTCCATTGGTCTATCCATCTGTTTCTGTACCAGTACCATGCTTTTTGATTACCACTGCCCTGTAGTATGTCCTGAAATCTGGTATTGTGATACTTCCAGCTCTGTTTCTGTTGTACACGATTGCTTTAGCTATTCAAGGTTTCCTGTGTCTCCATATGAATTTAAGCATCATTTTTTCTAGATCTGAGAAGAATGCCTTTGGCATTTTGATTGGTATCACATTGAATCTATAAATTTCTTTTGGAGAATGGACCTTTTGCTGATGTTGATTCTTCTAATCCATGGGCATGGAAGATTTTTCCATTTCTTGGTATCCTCTTCTATTTCTTTCTTTAAGATTTTGTAATTCTCATAGTAGAGATCTTTAATATCCTTGGTTAAGTCCAAGGTGTTGGATTTTTTTGTGGCTATTGTGAATGGGATTGATTTTAGAAGTTCTTTCTCAGCCATGGCATTGCCTGTGTATACAAAGGTTGTGGATCTTTGCACATTGATTTTATACCCTGCTACTTTGACAAACTCTTCTATGAGTTCCAATAGTCTCTTAGTAGAGTTCTTTGGGTCCCCTAAATAAAGAATCATGTCATCTGCAAAGAGGGATAGTTTGAGTTCTTCCTTCCCAATTTGTATCCCTTTAATTTCTTTTTCTTGCCTAATAGCTCTGGCTAGAACCTCCAGAACTATATTGAATAGCAGTGGTGAGAGTGGGCATCCCTGTCTGGTACCAGATCTCAGTGGAAATGCTTCCAACTTTTCCCCATTCAATAGGATGTTGGCTGTGGGTTTTTCATAGATTGCTTTGATTGTATTGAGGAATGTTCCTTCCAAACCCAGTTTGCTTAGGGTTTTCATCATGAACGGGTGTTGTAGTTTATCGAATGCTTTCTCTGCATCTATTGAGATAATCATATGGTTTTTCTTCTGCAGTCTGTTAATGTGGTGAATCACATTGATTGATTTGCGAATGTTGAACCATCCCTGCATACCAGGGTAAATCCCACTTGGTCTGGGTGGATGATCTTTCTGATGTGTTGTTGCATTCTATTGGCCAGAATTTTATTGAGGATTTTTGCGTCTATGTTCATCAGGGATATTGGTCTGTAATTCTCTTTCAGTGCTGCATCTTTCTCTGGCTTAGGAATTAAGGTGATGCTGGCTTCATAGAAAGAATTTGGGAGGATTCCCTCTTCTTCGATTGTTCTGAATAGTTTGAGAAGAATTGGAGTTAGTTCTTCTTTAAATGTCTGGTAGAATTCAGCAGTGAATCCATCGGGTCCTGGGCTTTTCTTTGTTGGGAGGGCCTTTATTACTGTTTCAATTTCTGTCTCAGTTATGGGTCTGTTTAGGTTTTCGATGTCTTCCTGGTTCAATTTAGGTAGGTTGCATGTGTCCAGGAATCTATCCATTTCTGATAGGTTTCCCTGTTTGCTGGCATACAAGTCCTAGTAGTAATTTCTGATGATTCTTTTTATTTCCATGGTGTCTGTTGTTACATTTCCTTTTTCATCTCTGATTTTATTGATTTGGGTCTTTTCTCTTCTTTTTTTAGTTAGTTGGGCCAATGGGGTGTCAATTTTGTTTATTTCTTCAAAAAACCAGCTCCTCGTTTGGCTGATTTTTTGGAATGTTTTTCTTGATTCAATCCTGTTGATTTCTTCTCTGATTTTAATTATTTCTCTTCTCCTACTAGATTTGGGTCTGGTTTGCTGTAGGTTTTCTAGATCCTTGAGGTGAATTGAAAGCTCATCTATTTGGTGCCTTTCCAATTTCTTGATGTAGGCACCTATTGATATAAACTTTCCTCTTAACACTGCTTTTGCTGCGTCCCATAAGTTTTGGTATGTTGTGCTGTTATCCTCATTTACTTCCAGAAAATTTTTGATTTCTCTTTTAATTTCTTCTATGACCCATTGTTCATTCAGGAGCATGTTGTTCAATCTCCATGTGTTTGCGTATGCTCTAGGGATTCCTGAGTTGCTAATTTCCAACTTCATTCCTTTATGGTCTGAGAAGCTGCATGGTATGATTCTAATTCTTTTGAATTTGCTGAGACTTGCTTTATGGCCTAGTATGTGGTCAATCCTAGAGAAGGTTCCATGTACTGCTGAGAAGAATGTAAAATCTTTAGCTGTAGGATTGAAAGTTCTGTATATATCAGAAATCACCCGAGACTCTTGCTATGAGCTGTCTAGGCTATGGAAGCCCCTTGGCTGCTCCACTTCTGATCCAGCTCTGTGCCAATGCTTCTGGGGAAACAGTGGGAGATGGCCCAAGTGCTTGGTCTCCTGCCAGCCATGTGAAAGATCTGGAGGAAGCTCCTGGCTTGTGGTTTCAGGCTGGCCCAGTCCTGGCTATTACAGTCATCTGAGGGGACTGAACCAGTGGATAGATCTCCCTATCATCCCCCACTCCCCATCACTCTGCCTTTCAAGTATATAAATCTTTAAAAATAAACAAAGCATACTGTTCACTGGGTCTTGGTATATTCAGGTTTTCCTGTCTTGTAATTTCTGTACTTTTCTCATCATCTCAAAGGGAAACACCATACTCCTTGTCAGAGAACCTCATTCTCTCCCCCTGCCTTGCCTTGGTAACCCTTATCTACCTCCTGTCTCTGTGGATTTATTTTCACTTCTGGCCATATCATGGAGATAGAGGGTCACTTTTATGTCTGTTTTCTTTCAATAAGCAAAATATATCCAAGGTTCATCCATATTGTAGCATATATCCACACCTGATCCTTTTATGGCTGAGTAATATCTACTGTGTGAATGAAACATATTAATACTTTTCATTTATCACATGCTGGGTAAATGGGTCACTTACACATTTGGCTACTATGTATACTGACACTCTGAACTTTTCTGAGGAAGTCAAACTTTTAAGGGAGGGGCCGGCACTGTGGTTCACTTGGTTAATCTTCCACCTGCAGTGCCGGCATGCCATATGGGCGCCGGTTCTATTCCTGGCTGCTGCTCTTCCAGTCCAGCTCTCTGCTGTGGCCCAGGAAGGCAGTGGAGGATGGCTCAAGTGCTTGGGCCCCTGCACCCATGTGGGAGACCAGGAAGAAGCACCTGGCTCCTGGCTTTGGATAGGCACAGTTCCAGCTGTAGCAGTATTTGGGGAGTGAACCAATAAAAGGAAGACCTTTCTCTCTGTCTCTCTCTTAAATTCTGTAACTCTACCTGTCAAATAAATAAAACAAATTAAAAAAAACTTGTGAGGGATTTGCAGAATAAAGTGTGATGTTTAAATTCCACAACATTACTAGCTATACTTTTTAAAAACGGATTACAGCCATACCAGTGTTCATCTTCTCAGAGATACTTTGTGCATGACAATTCATTCTGGAGGCCCTTGCATGTCTTTGTCTTTGCCTTCCAACTTACTAGGATGTGAATTTCTACTAGTGCAGTTCATTGAACTCCATGTATATTTTTGCATCCTATGATGTGTCAGCGATAGAGGCATGAGAGATATTCCAGCTGCTGATTGACTCCTCGAAGTACTTTCTACAACTGTAAGATCACAGCTGGGAACTGGGTTCCCAATCCAAGTTTTCCCCATGTGTGGAATGAGCCCAACGACTTGGACCCTCACTGCTGCCTCCCAATATTCATAGGAGCAGGAAGCTGGAAACAGGAGACAGAGCTAGGGAATCAAATTGAACCATTTCTTTGTTGGATATTGATGTCCTGTTTGCTTTATGACTAGGCCAAACACCCATGCGTATTTTGATTATTCTTGTTCAAAATGTTTAGGCAATTTGGGGACACAGTTCATATATTCTTGCTGTCCCTGTCTCATATCCCTGTCTCTCTGGACTCTTTATGAATATGTGTTATGCTTGATGGTGTCCCACAGGTTTCTGAAACTATTGTTTGCTTATTATTCATTGGACTGGGCCATCTGCAGGGTCTGATCCACAGGTTCGGTGTTTCTTTTGCCTGTTCAAAATCCTATTGTATGAGGAGTTTGTCCTGCAACGTTTAAGCCTTAGCACTCAATGTCTGTGTGGGAGGCTTTCTGTGGAAATAAGGTGTTCACAGGTAGAGTCAGGGATGATGAGCTCATCCTGTGTCAGAGTGGGTCCTGATCCATTGCTGTTGTCCTTCCATTCCAGGCAAATGTGGATGTGGAAGGAAGAAGACTCTGATGGCACAGGCAGAGGCTGGGAAGTTGCAGCTGCAAAGCAACAACCCAAGATGCAGCAAGTGCCAGAAACTAGGAAGAGCCCATGGAGGACCCTACGCTGGAGCCTTCAGATAGAGCAGGGAGCAGCAGGCCTCTGACATCAGGCCCTGCCCTCCAGAACTGTGAGCAACCTTCCTTTAAAGCCAGGCAGATGGCAGTAAGGAGCTATGGTGACTCGAGGAAGCTGGTGCAGGCCCCTGCAGGGAGTTCTCAGTTGTTCTTTTGAATTCCAGAAACTTGAGTCACTCCTCTCATAAGATGTATTCCCTTACTGTTATTTCCTATCCTGTGAAACACTTCTCTTGATGTTTGTAGTGCTTAACACATAGATTCCTTCACTAATTTGAGTATAGTGTGAATGCCGAGTGCTCTGGGCCTAGTGAGTTCCATGTCTGTACTTCCTCAGAGGTAGTGTCAGCTGGCTGCAGTCTTGGTGATTCTGCTTGTGTTGGGAGATCCTGATGCTGAGCACTCCCAGGGTCAGTGCTTCCTGTGGAGGCCCCCCTGGACTCAGAACAAGTTGTGACAACAAGAGTGACATTTGCCAGACAAGGTCCCAGAGTCTGATTGCCCAGGCTGTTCATTGGTGCCTTCTTCCCAGCACATGGGTAGATTCTAGTACCCCAGGAGGAGCAAGAGGTTTGGCATTAGTCCTTGTGTATGTGAGAAATCCAGCACCTCGAGCCTCTCTCATTAGAGAAGGGTGCACCTGTGCATTTCTAGATTCCCAGGAGTGTGCCAGAGCTTCCTGAGTCCCCTACAGACACTCATGACTTAGCTCTGTGGCAATGTTATTGGGTTAGTTTGTCCTTTATCTAAGGGAGTTGTCAACTACTTAGAGTATCCACAAAGTTAAGCAGTGGCTGTGATAGTTTTGAGAGTTTTGCTGGGGACCATTGTACTTATCACCTTGGACAAGCTCAAGGTCAGGCCAAGTTCAGCCTAGAAAGTGGGTTCTTCCCGAAGGCAGCAGACTCCTCAGAGAGTGCTCATTCTCTATGAATAAGGCTTTGGGGAAGCCACAGACTGATTGTGCTCCCGGCAGTGGCTGCCCACTGCTGGTTTTCACCATGAATGTGGGCTTCCGTTTTCTGTGTTCCTGTGGAACTGCAGAGCAGCAGGTTGTACTCGGGACAGGGAGACTGCCACCAACCCCCTGTTCTTCCTGAGAGTCAGCTGTGCTTTGTTTTTCTGTGCTCGGTACTGCCTGGGTTCCTGCAGATGTTGGGTTAGTTTCCAGGATTCTTGAAATGCTAATGGCTTTTTGGCCCTTTTCCCTTTTGTGCTGGATGGGCTTGCTGCCCCTGCACCTTTGGGTATGTGGTCTTCAGGCCATCTGCTCCGTGCTTCCTGGCCTGCATACTCCTCCACATGGTGGCTAGTGGTGTTCGGTATGAATCCAGATTTCTCTGTCTTTTTTAGATAGGGCCCTCACTCTCCTATGCATTTCTCCCACTGAATCAAAAGATTAAAAACTTACAAAATGTTAATGGTGACTGTTTTTACCTGGTTTCTCACTGATTTATTGGAGGGGAGAATTGGAGGGCTTTTAGCTGCTGTTTACTATACAGTCATCTACTTCTCCTTTTTGTGGCAATTGTAAGGATATAGCACATAACTGACTACCCTTGGGAGCTTGTGACTGTCAGAATATGCTGTAAATTCTCTCTCAGAGTGAAGGGCCCGAGTGCTCAGGCGAAGAAGATATTTAGGTGTGTGTGGAGCTGCTAAAGGGCTGTGGACTCCCTCAGACAATGACAGAGGACATGGGTCCCATGTTGAGACGTCATGGTCCCAGCCTAACTTGGAAGTGCAGAGGCTGAAGTGTATGAGAGCATCAGTGAGGCTGAGGGCACAGTGAAGAACCTAAGCAGCCATGTCCTGTGATCTTGAGGAGAGCAAAGGAGGTGGAGGAGGGGGAGAGAAGGGGCTGGGAGGGGCAGGACAGGGGTCACTGGCCCATGGGGTTGAGTCATGGCTTCTCCCATTCTGCCTTTCTCCAGTGCCTTCCACGACCAGTGAAGATGCCTTTGATCTCTGTCTTCATTGCTCTCTTCAGAGGTTCCATCAGCTTTGGACAGCTCTATAGGCTAGATGAGTTGGTGAGTGTTCTGCTCTCTTTGGCTGCTCCTTTGTTTTCAGAAACACACAGGTGATTCTGTAGAAATAGACCCTAAAAATCCTTCAGCCTCATCAGGATTTCACCAGCTTTACATGCATGTGTGTGTGTGTGTGTGTGTGTGTGTGTGTGTGTGTTCAGCTCAGTAATACGGTGCTAGAAAAAGAAGATCCATGTAGGAAATGGCATACTAAGAAGGTAGCTGGAGGAAGGAGAGACATTTGTATTGACAACCATGCACACAGCAAGAATAGTTCTAAGTAGCACAAAGACAGGTGGATAAATGTGTGTAGTATCGTCCCCTGAATAATAGAGTAGTTATGTCCCCTAGCAATTCCACTGCTGGTGATATGAGGAAATTTAGAATTCAAGGACAGTGGGATTTAAACATACACCTGAAATATATACTTTGTCAATAGAAGGTAGTTTAAGTTCCAGACATTTTTGCAATAAAACAAACACTTAGTACTTTCCTCAATAACTAAGGATCTTGGCAATTTGGCCATGTCCATGGAGTCTTCCAGTTTGTATTTTTTAAAAGATAGATAGATAGATAAATATATTTACGTATTTATTTGAAAGGCAGAGTTAGAGAATGAGAGAGAGAATCCAGTCTCCCATCCACTGGTTCACTCCTGAAATGGCCACAATGGCTGGAATTGTGCCTTTCTGAAGCCAGGAGCTTCTTCCATGTCTCCCATGTGGGTGCAGGGGCCCAAGTACCAGAACTGTCATCTGCTGCCTTCCCAGGTGCAAAAGCAGGGAGCTGCATTGGAAATAGAACAGCCAGATGTTGAACCAGTGCCCGTAGGGGATGCCAGCACCACATGTGGCAGCTTTCCTCACTATGCCACAGTGCCAGCTCAGTTCTTCCACTTCTTTACTGAAGAAAAATGGGTCACCTTCACAGATATTGGAAGAGGCAGGTTTTCAGCACAGCACCCGATGCTGCTTGGGACATGCACATCCCTTGTCAGAGTGCCTGGGGTTGAGTTCCTGTCCCACTTCTGATTAATTTTCTTCTGATGTGTACCCTGGGAGGCAGCAGGTGGTACTGGGTGCTGTTGGTTGACTGTGATTCAGGTAAGAGACCCAGAGTGCCTTCATGTCTGCTGACTGTGGCTTGGCTACAACTGGGCTGCTGTGGATATTTGCAGGGTGAACCTGCAAAAGAGATGCATCTTGATCTCTGTCTAAAGATTTTATTTATTTGTCTGAGAGGCACAGTAATATTAAGGGGTGGGGGGTGATCCTGAGATACTCCATCCACTGGAGATGCTCCATCTATTGGTTCCCTTCCCAAATGGTCACACTGGTGAGAGCTGGGCCGATCTGAAGCCATGAGCCAGGATCTTAGGACCTCTCCTTCCTTCCTCTTTCAAATGGGGATGGGATGGGAATAGCAATGGGAGCAGCAGAGCTCAGGCAGCAGCTGTTTGTACTGCAGAGACTGTTAGTAGTCCCAGTGGACGTGTGGGACACTGAGGCCCAGAGCCACCAAGTACCTATCTCATGGTGGGGGTCTGGAATCCATACTCTTAGCTGTCAGCTGAACTTGTAACTGCACCCTCCTGTCAGTGAGGTGGGAGGGAGGAGGAACTGAAGTTGGTATTGCTGGCAAAGCCTTGACACAAAGGAGCTGCTCAGGGATGACAGCTTCCTTGTGGTGTGGCCCTTGTTGTCTGCTGTCAGGTTGTTTCCTGTGTGCTCTGGGGAGCAGTGTTTGTCCCCTGGTAGAGATGAGTTTGGACAAATGTGCAGAGGTGCAAAACTGTTCAGGACGATGGACAGAATCGAGTGCTAACGGCTGAGCTAAGACCTCCTTGTGTCTTGCTGGTGAAGCCAGGCCCTTGCTTTTCTGGGTGGTGCTTTGTTTTTGACATGTCCCTATGTCTGTACCCAGGATCATTCAGTGCGGTTGTCTGAGGCTTAAAGCATTCAGTCCTTAGGTCTTCATTCCAGGGACTAGAAAATAGGGAGTATGAGAGAGAAGGTTGAATCCTCTGAGCACAGTAGTAATTCCTGTGAGTGGGATGCATGTGCAGTGATAAGGAATTCAGGGAGTGGCTCCTGAGAGGTCCAGCCTTGGTCTTGATAGATATTTGCCCTGAAGGTGGTTTGGTGAATGGGCATCCCAGTGGCAAGGAAAAGATCACAATGTGAAACCAGGAGAGATAACTTCAGACTCTTTGGGGAGGAAATGAGAGAAAAGCTGAATTTACCTTGTTGCAGAAAGAATTTAAGTCCATGTGTCAGTTTACTCATAATGTGCATTTTCCATGACCTTTTGAAGTCCCTTCATAAAGGAACTGCTGGAAGTAGCTCGTATAGACATCTTTCCTTAGTGTGGTGTGTTTATTGCCATCAGTGAACCTGCACTGATACTTTATTATTCACTAAAGGCCACAGTTTATTCAAATTCCTTAGCTGTACCCACATGTCTGTTTTCTGTACCAACACTACATCCAGAATTTAGTCTCAGACTCTTCATGTTTTTCTTATAGAATCCATTTCCTACTTTGAAAGTTAGACACACCCACTCACATGCACACTGACACACACACACACACACACACAGTGAGAGAGAGAGAGAGAATGAGATCTCAAGACCTTCTATCTGCTAATTCACTTCCCAAATACAAAGGTGGGGCTGGGCCTGACTGAAGCCAGAAACTCCATCCTGTGCTCCCACATGAATGACAGGAACCCAAGCACTGAGGTCATCACCTGGGCCTCCCAGGGTGCACATGTGCAGGAAGCTGGATCAGAAGCAATGGTGGGACTCTATCTCAGGAAATCCAATATGGAATGGGGGCTTCCCAAGCAGATGGCAAATCTATTGTACTGCAATGCCTATCTCCTTAGACCTGACTTGATTATGATGAGATTGATGTCTTGAGAAGTCCAGGCCACAGATTGATAGGATGCACCTGCACTGGCATGTATGTGGGACTTGGTATTTCCTAGAGATTTCCAGGTTATGCAGCATGGTTTGGGGTTTGATTTGTGTGAGAGAGAGCAAGAAGGAAGACGACAGCATTCCAAGCATGTGGGAAGTGGGCCATAGGAAGGAAGATCTGAGTATGGCAGTTTCCATCTCTTTCTGCAGCTCTCCTAACAAATAAAATGAAAATAAGTTTTTAAAAACTTTGTTAGCTCTTCTTTTAGAAAAGATTGCCCCCTCCCTGGAGTTTTCTCCTCTCTAGCATGTGCACATTGTGCCCCCAGCAGTTGACCTATTACAGTCTGTGTTCCCTACCTACATTTGAGCCCTAGCAGAGGCCTGTGCTCAGTTAAGCTGGGATTCTCTGCATCTGACAGTCAAGGCAATTTCTGAAGGTGTGTTTTGCAAGTGACCTCACTTTTCTGTAGGATACAAGATGAGTTGGTGAATTCAGGTGTTCAGCTTTTGTCTTGTGGCATGGCAGGGAGTGACTATTGATATGCTATGTACATGTGGGTTAAAAGATATAAATCAATCCTTTTTGGGAAAATGGGACTCTAACTTAGCTTGTTTCCCCTGCAAATAGTCTCTTTGCTTCCCCTTTCCTGATCTGAATGGAAGAGCAACAAGGAGGACATCTCCGCATGTTGACAATCAGATCACCCGGGAATCAGTGACATCCTAGAGTTACGGTTGTCCTTGGTTATTGTGGGGCGATGAGTTTTCTTCCTCTGTTCTTCGTGGCCTGTGAGCTTCGATGCCAGATGTGTGCTTTCTGGCTGAGCTGTGAGTGTAGATTTCCCTAAGGGACCAGGTGTGAGTGTGTAGAGTGTAGACTGCTGGTGTGTGTGAGGGGAGATCCAGCCAATTGCAGCTCAGAGAGGAGGTGAGAAGTGGTAGCTGCTATAGCCAGGATGACCCTTCCTGTCTCCTCCCTTCCTGGGTTCATTGATCCTGGGCCCCATCCCTTAAGTTCAGCCATAGCTTTTTTTTTCCTTCGTTTAGAGATTTATTCATATATTGAAAAGTCTGAGTTACAGAGAGAGAGAAGGAGAGGCAGGGAAAGAGAGTTCTTCCATCCACTGGTTCACTCTCCAGTTGGCTCCTAAGGCTGGAGCTCTACTGATCCAATGCCAGAAGCCAGAGGCTTCTTCCAGGTGTCCCATGTGTGTAGAGGGGCCCAAGGACTTGGGCCATCTTCTACTGTTTTCCCAGGCCATAGCAGAGAGGTGGATCAGAAGTAGAGCTCCCAGGATTTGAATCAGTACCCATATGGGATGCCAGCACTGCAGGCCGCAGCTTCACCCACTATGCCGGCACAGGTGCCAGCCCATCAGCCACAGCTTTTCTGCTCAGGAGGAGTCATTATGGCCTTTGGCTCCTTCTACTCCCTAGCCCCCAACCCTCCAGCCCCTGTTTCTTGCACCACAGGAACATTTTCCCATAGGATCTGACCTCCTGTCAGCACTCACACAAGCCAGCATTTCTCACACTGGATCTACAGAGCATAGACACAAAAAACAGAACGAGTATGGTGTTTAATATTAAATAAGACTCTTGTGTGGTGAGGAGCCAGCTGGAGGCCATGAAAGGAGCTGCCTGGGAGCAGAGTTGTGCCATGTCCTGGAGGGAAGGGAGGAAGGGTCACGTGGGAGGGTCTATATCCATAGGTGCTGGGAAACTGGGTATGAAGATGCAAGGAAAGATGGGAAGGCCAGGCATAAAACTGCCCCTGGGACCAGCAGGAGGAAAACAGAGGGCAGGAGACGTGGTTGACCTTTCCATGGACTATGCTGGAAACTAGGGGGTGAAGGGTCCATGGCCTCCTCTATGGGGGAGTATAGGTTGGTGTTGTGTCCATGGGCTCCTCTGGAGGAGGAGCCTATGGGATTGTGGTATCCATTGGTTCCTCCCTTGGTGGAGCGTAGGAGGGTGTGGTGTCCAGGCACTACTCTGGAGGAGGAGCCTATGGCATTGTGGTGTCCATTGGCTCCTCCTTTGGTGGAGCTTGGGAGGTTGTGGTGTCCAGGGACTCCTCCCATGGGGGAGCACAGGAGGGTGTGGGTCAATAGGCTCCTCCCATGGTGGAATGTTGGGAGTGTGATATCCCTGGGCTCTTCCCGTGGTGGAGTGTGATATCCCTGGGCTCTTCCCGTGGTGGAACATGGGGAGGTGTGGATCCGCCCAAGATGTTTCTTATGGGGGCGTGGTGTCCATCAGTTCTGGTGGCTCATATGGCGGTGTGGTGTCCATCAGTTCTGGTGGCTCATATGGCGGTGTGGTGTCCATCAGTTCTGGTGGCTCATATGGCGGTGTGGTGTCCATCAGTTCTGGTGGCTCATATGGGGGCGTGGTGTCCATGGGCTCCTCCTCCCGAGGTGGAGTGTATGGAGGAGTAGTGTCCATGGCTTCTTCCTGTAGGGGAGCAGAGAGGGATGAGTTGTTTATAGCTCTCTCCTTTCAGGGAACATATGGGGGTGATGTGTCCCTTGATACCCCCATTGGGGAGTATAGGGGGAGAGATGTCCATGGCTTCCTCCTGTGGAGGAGTATCAGGGGGTAAAGTGTCCATATCCTGGATAATTGGATGATGTACTTTGCAGGTTTGCTTCCTCCGCCTTCCATTGCCGGTTCGTCTGGTAGGATCAGGCGTGCTCAGTACAGGTCCTAGAAAGGAAAAGGCAGGAAGGATGTGAACTGCTGTGCACCTGGGCGACCTCAGCATCACCTCCCAAAGTGCTTTTGCTTTCTGTTACAAATGTATTATGTGTAAAGGTTGAGTTGGGGAGTGAGAAAACCAAAAGAGAGCTTCCATCTTCTGACTTGACCCTGAAATGGCCACCACAACTGGCAAGGTAGCTGGCCAGACAGGGGCCTGGCACTTCACCAGTGCCTTCCAAAATGGCCACGTACTTGAGCCATGTTCTACTGCCTTCCCAGGTATATTAGCAGGCAGCTGGGTTGGAAGTGCAGCAGCTGGGACTCAACCCAGCACTCCTTCGGGATGCTGGTGTTGCAGGCAGTGGCTGAGCCCACTGCACCACAGCACTGCACACACACGTGCTCCCCGCACTTCTACCACACCTCCCCTACAAGGCTTTCAGATTTCCATGATGATCAGGTTACCTAGCCTACGGGGTGGTGGCATCCTGGCCTTACCGATGTTCACTCTGTTGGAGCACACGCGTTGTCGAGTCTGAAGCCCACAGAGAGTGGTCAGCAGTGCCACGATGGCCCTGAGTTTTCTTATCAGACTGGATTGTCTGACTTTTGGTCTGTAAGACCTATGGTATTTTGCCCGTGGACCAACTGGTCCAGGGCCAGAGGCGGGAGTGTGACCCCGACCTGGGCCTGGGGGCCCCTTAGGTCGATGGTCAGCCCCCATTGCTGGGGCAGGTGAGGGGGGCAAAATTTGCTCCCCAAAGTTTTTGAAAAGAAGCTGGTGAGTCTCTATGCTGTGAAGACTTCCCAAAGCACTTTTGGCTGCTATCGCTCCGAAGGGCTAAAGCCAAAATGCCACATCTGCAGAACCTTAGTGGTCACAGAATGGGCACGTGTCACAGAACCTGCTGCTAGGGGTGCGCATCATAGAGAGCAGGCCCTGGAGATGGGTGTGTCCAGGACCCAGGCTAGGGGTGGAGTTTGCCAAGATGGCCTCAGGAGTGGCACATTGTGCAGATGACATGGGAGGAAGTGGCCCCGGCAAAGGCTGCCGATCCCCTCTGGACTCTTGTGTCCCTCCAGGCTCCTACTGAGGGCAGAGGGTGTCTGTATTGAGCATCATGAGCTGTTGGTAGTGCAGTGGCCCCCTCAGTGCTTTTCCAGGGCCTAGAGCCCTCAGGGCACTGGGCAGGACCCATTGCCCGATCCCTGACCCTCAGGTGGCTGAGTGCTAGGAGCGGTCTCTTGGCAAGCAGGTCCTGTAGGCTATGGCCGCATTGGTGTCACCCAGTGGGGTCCTCCTTCCCTTGTCCTGGAAACACTGAGGAGAGAGCCCTCAGGGCAGAAATGGATATGCCCCTCAGAGCCTGAGGTGCTGGCAGCATAGTTTTGGGCCAGGTAGGCTGGGAGAGACATGCTGACCATATAACTGAGATTCCATTCCTGCGAGTTCTCTGGGGAAACGCCAAGTTGGATTTCCACAAAGACCTGTTTATCAATCTGTTGCTGCTCCATTCCCAGATCTAGATCCTGGGGTGACCCAACTTCATCCTCTTATTTAAAAAAATTTTTTTTTAATTTATTTGAATGACAGAATTAGAGAATGATCCTCCATCTGCCAGTTCTCTCCCCATGTTGCCACCACATTCAGGGCAGGTCAGGAGAAAGCCAGGAGCTTCCTCCATGTCTCTCACATGTACAGGGGTGCAGGGACTTGGGCCATCCTCTGCTGCTTTCTCAGGCACATTAGCAGGGAGCTGCAAGTGCCTCAGGGTGTGGGATCGCACATTGCACCATGATGCCGGCCCACATCCAGCTTTTCTAGAGCGTGTCTTCATGTTTCAGTTGTTCTGGGCATAGCACTGTGGGTCCTGTTGCTTTTCCCATCTGATTAGAGTCCCTTTTCTTCCTGTTCGGCAGAGTAATGAAACCTTAAGGCCGCACGATTCTTTGACCCTCTGCTCTGTTGTGACTGTTCCCCTTGGTGTGACCTTTGTACAAACAGAGCCTCACCCTCTGAGTCTGTGCTTTCTGTTTTGGGTTCTGCAGATGTCATTTAGAGAATTTAAGGGCGAAAACACAGCCAGCAGTGATTTAAATCCTTAACGTTTCTCCTGCTCTTCATTACTCCTGATGTACCAGACTTCCTGTGGGCAGGATTTCACTTTAGCCTGAAGAATTCCATCCACTTGGTGCTGTTTTGATAGCAAGTGGTCTTCTGATGACTGCTCTTAGTATTCCTTCTTGTCCATCACCCCTCCTTTTTCTGCATAGGGGGCTGAGATCCTTCAGGGTGTCTTGGTTCCCTGGAGATTCCTGGGGAGGTCTTTTCTTTCCACACTTGGAGGACAGGGTTCTAGTATCCTGTGGACTTTGTGTTTTCTGATGAGAAGTCAAACCCTCTCATGTGGGTATTCCCTCATTGGGAGCATGTCATTGGCTCTGATTTCAAGATTTCTCCTTTTTTGGGCATTGTTCACATGTCCCTGTAATGCTTCTGAGCTACTTGGATTGTATTCCTAAAAGGGTGATCTTCCTGGCCATTGGATTCTTTATGGATTTTGTTGTTCACTGCCCCCCCCATTCCCCTCCCCATTTCAGGCTCCCAAACATTAGGACTCTTGCTCTGGTTCACACATCTCTGAGGCTCCATTCATTTAGCTTCCAGCTTCTTCCCTTCTCTTTGTTCTTCAACTTGTACCTTTCTGTTGATTGGCATGTAATCTGATCCTTCCTCATTTTCTACACTCTGGTCCTGATTCCATCCATTGCATTTTGATATGAATGTTGTACGTTCAGGCCTGACATTTCCAGCTTGTGTTTTTCATGTAATTCTTTGTCTGCTCGGAACATTTTCTTCCCATTAATTTCCAGAGCATTTGCCTTTCCTTCTTTGGAAATGGTTAGAGGAGATGCTGTCCCTAGTCATTCCTCTATGAGGACAGGTTCAGAGCCAATCGGTGGTCTTTTTCTTTGAGAGCTGATCAGACTGTCCTAGTCATCTCTATGTTTTGTTGTGTACTGCTCCGTGGTATTCTGGACAGTGTGGGAGACTAAAAGCTCTCAGGAGGATGCTCATTTTCCTTCTCCGTTGCTTTGTGAAGCAAACCACATAGCGCACATCTAACTGATCTTGGTGTTTTGGCTCATGTCCTACAGTGGTGCACCTTTGTGCAGTTTTCAACTCATTTTCATGGAGCTGTGTCCACTGAGACCTTGTACCCTCAGAGGTCACCTGGAAGTCAATTGCTTGGTTGCGTGGGAGCTCAGTTCCACAGTCTTTCCTCCCCTAGGGCGTGGCCTGTGTATGTGCAGTCAGAGGGATCTCACATCTTGTGCTGATTCATCTGCAGACTATTTGTCCCCTGCAGCTCTCTGATGTGCACAGTTCTCCTGACCTATGCAAGTGCTGCTCTTCCATGTTCTTCTCAGTGGTGTTTACCCTCATGTCGTGGTCCAGATCCACCGACAAGAATACCTGTGAGGTGAGATTGTTTGAGGAAAGATCGCTGGAGACTTTCCTCCTCTTCCTTGGAGAATGCCATTGTTTCTAATTTGTTTAAGCAGAAATAGAGTAATTTCCAAGGTTTTCCCTTCACTACTGCAGAGACCGAGGACAGCTTTGTCAGTGAAGGGAGAGGAACAAAACAAATGGTTATAACATTCCTATTCCCCATCAGTTTTATGTTGACTGCAGCCCCGGTCAGGAAGACCCTCCCTTTATCTCCATGACAGGCTGGCCTGTCAGCCTGGCAGGTCCATGGTTCTTTGGCCGCTGTGTTCCCTGTGCACAGCTGAGTTTGCCAGCCATGGAGAGAACCCCAGGGGAGGGCCAAGTGTGTCCACATTTCAGTCATGTCCATGTTCCCTATCATGACTGGTTTGTAATCTCTGGAGTTAGTGATGACTGTACTTAGTGGAGAATAGAAATGATCAACCTGACATTCCTCAAGGAAGCACAGAAGTTGATATTGAGCATGAGCCTGTCCCAGTGTCATTCCTTGCCCCTTTGAATGCATTGGGCTGATCCCTGCAGGCTCCCGTTCCCCATGGATGCATCTCAGTTTTTTCTCTCTGCCGTTAGCCCTGATGTGTCCCAGGAGAGTGTACAGTTCATATGTAGTCATCCAGGGGAAGGAGCTGTGACTGGATAGACATGGAGCAGCCCTTACTGTGTATAGATGATGGCTGGCAACAGGAAAGGAGTCAGCTGGTTGGGGGGATAACAGGAAGTTCAACTATGTTACTGTTGCATGTGAATTGTTTCCCATTTAAATAATGGATCATTTGAGCCAACAAAAACCTTATTCCTGCTAATCACTGATCAGCCATAGGACTGAGGTGATCCATAAGAGAGAAATGATGGTTGGACGTGTTCTCCCTCATTTTAGACCTGGTACATCGTAATTGCTGAGCAAACCTGATGATGATCCAACTTTGTGGAACCATGATTCTAAATTGTTTTGGTAAAGCAAGTGGTAATTCATTTCCTGAATTCCTTCAGAGTGGATATTAGTAACACTTTTCTTACAGATGTTAATTATTTGAAAGGCAGAGATACAGAGAGAGAAGGAAAGAGACTTTCCATCCTCTAGTTCACCCCTAGATGGCTGCAATGGCTGGGGTTTGGCCAGGCTGAAGTCCAGAGCCAGGAGCTTCATCCTGGTCTGCCATGTGGGTGCAGGGGCCCAAGTACCTGAGCTGTCTTCTGCTGCTTTTCCCAGGCCATTCACAGGAAACTGGATCAGAAGTGCAGCAGCCATGACTCAAACCATATGTGATGCAGACCCTACCATGTGGAGGCTTTACTTTTTATGCGAAAGCACCATCAGCTATTAATAACTTTTGTACAAGAAATACAAATAAAATGAGCATGAAGAGAAAATAATCACTCAGTTTGGGCCATCTAGGAAGCCAGAAAATAGTTTGATTAGGACAGTGTAACAAAGAGTTATTAAGTTATGATAGAAGAGTAACTCTCTTGTATAGAGAATTCCAATAGGTGTCCTAGGGCTCAGGAAGAGCACCTAAGGAAGTAAACATTTGTAGGGGTCCCACTCCCCAAGGATGGGCTTCAGAACTCACAGGTTGCTGTTGATCCTAGCAGACAGTGGACAAGTGTTTGTATGACTGAGTGCAGATTTGGTGCACTCTCACTGGGCTGAAGACAGCCATCTGAGGTCTGTCTCCCTCTCTCCTCAACTCTGTCTCCCTGCACACACCTCATGTGTGTTTTCCTTTGGTTTTTCTAAAAGATGTATTTGTTTGTTTGAAAGAGTTACATGGAGGGAGAAGGAGAGACAGAAAGAGACAGAGAGAGAGAGGGAGAGAGAGAAATAGAGAGAAAGGGTGAGAGGGTGAGAGAGAGGAAGGTTGAGAGAGGGAGAGAGAGGGAGAGAGAGGGAGAGGAAGATGAAGAGAGAGAGAGAGAGAGAGTCTTCCAGGCACTGGTTCACTCCCCAGTTGGCTGCCATGGCCGGAGCTACACCAATGCAAAGCAAAGACCATGAGCCAGGATCCTGGTGATTTTTCTGGGTCTCCCACGTTGTTTGTTGCAGAAGCCCCAAAACTTGGGTCTTCTTCCACTGCTCTCTCAAGCTATAGCAGAGGGCTGGATCAGAATTGGAGCAGCCAGGACTTGAACCAGCATGCATATGGGATGCTGGTACTGCAGGCAGTGGCACTTTACCGGCTATGCCACAGCACCAGCCCCTTTCCTATGGGTTTTGATTTAGTCGTGTGTTTTGAGAAGTATTTTTTTTTAAGAAACACGAATGGATTTAAGTATTTCAAACTCTCTCTGAGGTTGATATTATTATTACGACCATGTATGTCACAGGTA